TGTCCATCTATCATGAAAATAATTTTAACATACAATAATACAAATTAATAATGTGATTGAGTAATTTTAATCAACAATAAAGAGCCTAAATTGCTTAATATAGCATATCGAAAAAAACTAGATTTTCTGTAGGGGTTAACCCATATATTTTGAGAAAAAATTGAAAATATGAAAATTTTGTTTTAATGAATATTTTCATCATTCACTGACATAGTATGAAGGATAAAGAGGTTTGAGACCTTAGGTGTTCATGTTTCTCCCAAAAATATAATTTCTTTTATAAGGGCTTTGTCCACTGATTAAGTGGTTTATGAAATTTAAATTAATTACCTGTTGGAAAATTTGAAATGATGTCCATGTACCATGAAAATAATTTAAACATACATTAATACAAATTTACAATGTGATTGGGTAATTTTAATCAACAATAAAGAGCCTAAATTTCTTAATATAGCATATCGAAAAAACTAGATTTTCTATAGGGGTTAACCCATATATTTTGACAACAATTTGAAAATTTGAAAATTTTGTTTTAATGCATATTTTCATCATTCACTGACATAGTATGAAGGTTAAAGAGTTTTGAGACCTTAGGTGTTCATGTTTCTCCGGAAAATATAATATCTTTTATAAGGGCTTTGTCCACTGATTAAGTGGTTTATGAAATTTAAATTAATTACCTGTTGGAAAATTTGAAATGATGTCCATATACCATGAAAATAATTTAAACATACATTAATACAAATTTAGAATGTGATTGGGTAATTTTAATCAATAATAAAGAGCCTAAACTTCTTAATATAGCATTTATTGAAAAAACTAGATTTTCTGTAGGCGTTAATCCACATAGTTCGAGAAAAAATAGAAAATATGAAAATTTTGTTTTAATGCATATTTGCATCACTAACTGACATAATATGAAGATTAAAGAGGTTTGAGACCTTAGGTGTTCATGTTTCTCCTGAAAATATAATTTCTTTTATAAAGGCTTTGTCCACTGATTAAGTGGTATATGGAATATAAATAAGTTACCTGTTGAAAAAATTGAAATGATGTCCATATAACAAGAAAATAATTTAAACATACATTAATACAAATTTAGAATGTAATTGGGTAATTTTAATCAATAATAAATAGCCTAAACTTCTTAATATAGCATTTATTGAAAAAACTAGATTTTCTGTAGAGGTTAACCCACATATTTCGAGAAAAAAATAGAAAATATGAAAATTTTGTTTCCATGCATATTTGAATCATTCACTGACATAATATGAAGGTTAAAGAGGTTTGAGACGTTAGGTGTTCATGTTTCTCCAGAAAATAGAATTTCTTTTATAGGGGCTTGTCCACTGATTAAGTGGTGTATAAAATATAAATAAGCTACTTGTTTGAAAATTTTAAATGATGTCCATCTATCATGAAAATAATTTTACCATACAATAATACAAATTTATAATGTGATTGAGTAATTTTAATCAACAATAAAGAGCCTAAATTGCTTAATATAGCATATCGAAAAAACTAGATTTTCTCTAGGGGTTAACCCATATATTTTGAGAAAAATTTGAAAATATGAAAAAAAATTTTTAATGCATATTTTCATCATTCACTGACATAGTATGAAGGTTAAAGAGGTTTGAGACCTTAGGTGTTCATGTTTCTCCCAAAAATATAATTTCTTTTATAAGGGCTTTGTCCAATGATTAAGTGGTTTATGAAATTTAAATTAATTACCTGTTGGAAAATTGAAATGATGTCCATGTACCATGAAAATCATTTAAACATACATTAATACAAATTTACAATGTGATTGGGTAATTTTAATCAACAATAAAGAGCCTAAATTTCTTAATATAGCATTTATCAAAAAAACTAGATTTTCTGTAGGGGTTAACCCACATATTTCTAGAAAAATTAAAAAATATGAAAATTTTGTTTTAATGCATATTTTCATCATTCACTGACATAGTATGAAGGGTAAAGAGGTTTTAGACCGTAGGTGTTCATATTTCACCAGAAAATATAACTTCTTTTGTAGGGGTTTTGTCCATTGATTAAGTGGTATATGAAATATAAATAAATTACCTTCTGGAAAATTTGAAATGATGTCCAAGTATTAGGAAATCAATTTTAACATACATTAATAAAAATTTAGAATGTGATTGGATAATTTTAATCAACAATAAAGAGCCTAAACTTCTTAATATAGCATTTATCGAAAAAACTAGATATTATGTAGGGATTAACCCACATATTTCGAGAAAAAATAGAAAATATGAAAATTTTGTTTTAATGCTTATTTTCATCACTAACTGACATAATATGAAGGTTGAAGAGGTTTGAGACCTTAGGTGTTCATGTTTCTCCAGAAAATAGAATTTCTTTTATAGGGGCTTTGTCCACTGATTAAGTGGTATATGAAAAATAAATAAATTACCTGTTGGAAAAACTGAAATGATGTCCATCTACCATGAAAGTAATTTTAACATACATTAATAAAAAATTAGAATGTAATTCGGTAATTTTAATCAACAATAAAGAGCCTAAACTTCTTATTATAACATTTATCGAAAAACTAGATTTTCTCTAAGGGTTAACCCACATATTTCGAAAAAAAACAGAAAGTATGAAATATTTGTTTCAATGCATATTTGCATCATTCACTGACATAATATGAAGGTTAAAGAGGTTTGAGACGTTAGGTCTTCATGTTTCTCCAGCAAATAGAATTTCTTTGATAGGGGCTTGTCCACTGATTAAGTGGTATATAAAATATAAATAAACTACTTGTTTGAAAATTATAAATGATGTCCATCTATCATGAAAATAATTTTAACATACAATAATACAAATTTATAATGTGATTGAGTAATTTTAATCAACAATAAAGAGCCTAAATTGCTTAATATAGCATATGGAAAAAAACTAGATTTTCTGTAGGGGTTAACCCATATATTTTGAGAAAAAAATTGAAAATATGAAAATTTTGTTTTAATGATATTTTCATCATTCACTGACATAGTATGAAGGTTAAAGAGGTTTGAGAACTTAGGTGTTCATGTTTCTCCCAAAAATATAATTTCTTTTATAAGGGCTTTGTCCACTGATTAAGTGGTTTATGAAATTTAAATTAATTACCTGTTGGAAAATTTGAAATGATGTCCATGTACCATGAAAATAATTTAAACATACATTAATACAAATTTAGAATGTGATTGGATAATTTTAATCAACAATAAAGAGCCTAAATTTCTTAATATAGCATTTATCGAAAAAACTAGATTTTCTGTAGAGGTTAACCCACATATTTCGAGAAAAAATAGAAAATATGAAAACTTTTTGTTTCAATGCATATTTGAATCATTCACTGACATAGTATGAAGGTTAAAGAGGTTTGAGACGTTAGGTGTTCATGTTTCTCCAGAAAATAGAATTTCTTTTGTAGGGGTTTTGTCCACTGATTAAGTGGTATATAAAATATAAATAAATTACCTTCTGGATAATTTGAAATGATGTCCAAGTATTATGAAATCAATTTTAACATACATTAATAAATATTTAGAATACTAATATTTTTAAAAACAGAGCATAATCTAATAAAACAACAAAAAGTGCAATTGTTTATGGGGGAAGAAGAATTTTAATGAGGAAAGAGGTATTAATGGGGGAAAATAGATTTTGGGGAATGTAAAAAGTTTTTGATTACGTGAAAATAAAGTCAGTATATACAAACATCTTTAATTTTTTTTTAAACTCTAGTTATTCTGCCACTTAGATTTCTAATACAACAAATATTATGGGCCCCTTTTTGTTCCTGGGCCCCTGGCGGTCACCCTGCTCGCCCCTGTATATGAGCCGGCCCTGGATCCAGTCAACAATACTTTTAGTCTTTATCGTTTTATACAACAACTCATGGCAGCAATATTCAATAGGTACACAGAATCAGTACACTTCCAGATATCCATCCTTATTATGCAGTAACTTCCAAATAATTCACTCATTTTCACAAGATTCACAAATGTTAAACTACCAAACTTATCCACCAAATAATTATAAGCGTACAAAACAAGCATAACCTGTAACATAAAGCTTACTCACCCCACTCCATCAAAGGTCTACTTCAAATATATGATAAGTAGTAAAAGTCTACTTCAAATATATGATAAGTAGCCGCTCCATCAGCAATCATATCTAACTGTAACTATAACAATAATGTTCAAATTAAACAATCATATTACTTAGATCATATCTAATGACAAATGTTCATTGTCTAATAACACAAATGACAAACATCAAAAACATCGAAAAATCCCTCCATGGAGTAAGAGTCACAACCTTAGACGCTACTATGAACACCTAACCAGAAGCAAGAGAACCTATCACATGTCACCGAGATGAGATGCACCTTCGCTGCGAGGCTGCTATTATTACAAGCAGATCTAGATATTTACTTTTATTGTTTAGGGAAGTTATGTAGTTCCCTAATATCATTTACCTATTTCCAGATTTAAAATAATTAAATTTCTCCTGTCTATACAAGTATACGACACTAGAGCATAAGGGCCAACCTCTGCATAACTTCTATAAGACCAAAACCAAAATAACAAAAAAATATTATAAATATATGTAAATAAGAATAATGCGTTACGGCATCCGTGGGAAAATAATGAAACAATATTTAACCATCCCTTACGTCACAAACAATAAAGAGAAAAAAACACTAAATTAAAACGCATCCCTAATAATTAAACAACAAAAAAATTAATACATACTTCCAAAATTCTCAAATTAGCAGCAATTAGAAAAATCACGATTCCTTGAAAACAAGTTCTTCTAATACTGGATTTCGAAAATTACATCGAATATCTTTAAAACCAATGTTTAACAACACCTAAAGACAGAAAAAATAAGTTTTTCAATAATAAAAATATAACACAATCCGCGCTATGAACCACTAGTTTATTACATATAAAATACATAGTATCCTTTTCAAAAAGATTATGATAAAAAACGCATGGTCTATCATGCAAGCTAGGCTGCCAAGCAAGGTGAAAAAGCGTATGCAGAAGGCTACATCAATAGGAATCTCCAATGAATTGGCAAAATATAGTCTCGGTCTCGGTAAGAGATGGGATCATGTCCTAGCTACAAAACCAACAGGTACCATGTGTCTTCCTGATTCTCGGGGTTACTTGCACTTGCACTGGCGGGTACCTTCACTTCCTGAGTCATTCTATCCAGTGATGCAATGACAACATTGTTGACGGAGGTTGCTAGTGGAATCAGAGACCAAAATAATCACGAGATGTGTTGATTTTACGCCTTATGCGATTTGATGAGTTCCACAGCAGTTTTGCATGGGCAGATGGACGAGTATCATCCTCTCAGTCAATTGTTTGTCTGCCAAAATGCTGATCCAGAAGAGTATGTAGCAAGGAGGAAGAAAAAGGAAGATCACTTATGTTACCAATGTGCTTTTACGCAGCTCTTAAGTTTGCAAAAGAGTCAATGACGGGCATCCCACGAACCAGTGAGAATGAGATGAGTGATGAGTTTGTTTACACAGTTAAAAGTAAAATTGAAGCTGGTGAAGAGACATTCCAGATCCAAGAGGTTTATCAGTATGAAACTCTAGAGGAAGCTCTCTATCGTTTAAAGATGCAGACACCGTATAATATTAGTGCAAATAAAAATTAAAAATTGAAATAAATACTTGCGTGGTTGCGTGGATCAAAGTCTAGTATAATGTTTAAAATAATAATATATATTATATGTAAGCATATGCAAATAATGAAGACGGAAGAAAGGCAATGATGGATATCAAAAGGGTGGCACTTGCAACCATGAAAATTTCAAATTCTTTGTAGTATACCTAATTTTTACCTAATTTTTACTTATTTTTTCCTTCTAAGAAAAATTGGACCTTAGTTTTTATATTTATGTGTATCAAAGTCTAGTATAATGTTTTAAATACTTGTGCGGTTGCGCGGATCAAAGTCTAGTATAATATTTAAAATAATAATATATATTATATGTATGCATATGCAAATAATGAAGACGGAAGAAAGGCAATGATGGATATCAAAAGGGTGGCACTTGCACCCATGAAAATTTCAAATTCTTTGTAGTATACCTAATTTTTACCTGTTTTTTACCTATTTTTTCCTTCTAAGAAAAATTGGACCTTAGTTTTTATATTTATGTGTATTGCCCCCTCAAAAATTTTATGCTACATCCGACCTCTGGTTGAAAGGCATCTTGTCGATTTATGTGTGATTAAAGTTTTCTCCTCGTATTGGTCTGAGAACTGATCCAAACATCAAAGCCACCACATTCGTTTCTTGTCGATTTTAAGCTTTCGGCCCAAAATAAATATTCCAAACCTTAATCAAGAACTGTCGTCCTAATTATCTATGTTTAAGAGTTTATATTAATTAAATAAATATATTGGTTTCTCGAACTTCTTAGTGTGAAGGGTACAATTGAAAGATACAAGAAAGCTTGTTCCGATGCTGTTAACCCTCCTATTGTCACCGAAGCTAATACTCAGGTACCATTCTTGTATAGTTTTTTCTTGTTTTTATGACGATGAATTATTAATGTTGACAAAGTGATATCTTTTGTGTGTATATGATCAATTATGTATTAGTGTAAAAAAACGTTACTGACAAATTTCTTAACATTGACACTTCCAAAAAAAAAGAACATTACTAACAAAAAGAGTGGATTCCTGAAATGCATTGAGAAGGTGACGTTTTGGTATTTGTATGCATGGAACTTTTCAGTATTATCAGCAAGAAGCCTCTAAGCTTAGGAGGCAGATACGGGACATTCAGAATTCTAACAGGTAAGTAAAGTAATTATAACTCTTCATGAGGTTTCACATATGTCTTTTTAACCACTACTTCCCTATTATATATAGAGCTGGTCATTTGGATTTGTTCAACTGAAAAAAAATTACAGAATCTGAGTCATTTTTATGTAAATTCATTCAAATCGTTATTAGTCACATCTTCATCGTCTTAACCAAGATATCGACCGTTTATCACAAAACCAAACTTGTTCATTTTGTGCAGATAGAACAAGGGGAGAGATTGAATCAGATACAGCAGGGATCGAGTGTGATACAAGGAACGGCGGTTTATGGTCTGTCTTATTCTCATGATCAATCCCAGCATTATAACCGGAACTATATTCCGGTTAACCTCCTTGTACCGAATCAACAATTCACCGGTCAAGACCAGCCTCCTCTTCAACTTGTTTAAGCTTAATCATGATTAAAAAAATGTTTCTTCCCACTCAAAACGTTCTTTAGAGAAAGAGATACTAAGAGTAAATTCTATTTATATGCCACTTTCTTATTCATAGTTTAGGACCAGGCTCCAATAATCATAATAATAAAAATAAAATAAAAACTCTTGTTCCTATTACATAAAAAAAAAAAAAAAACTTACAAGCATTTATGTTGTGATGAATTACTATGATACGCAGCTATAATTAAACAAAAATACTACTTGAGATAAAGAAAATAAAAAAGCTACATATTCATAAAATCTAGATTACTTTTTAGTATATAGACATGAGAGAAACATGAGCAGAGGCTGAAGGCTTAAACCTTCTTCCCTCTGTTCTCTCATACAACCGCACGTATCGGTGTTTTTTCATCAGTTCATGATTTTACATTTCCTAACGAAGATGTTTGATGAATTTACGTATCTATACCAGTAAGATCGTATCTCAGGGTTACTAATCTCTAGCCACGGTTTTGCTGGACCGCTGAAATGTAAAACCGCAGCAGATTTCAGAATCTCTTCAGGGGAATCAACAGATCGAGATCCTAGTCCTGCTACGTGCCATGATGGGTCCAGAGGCTGTGTGAGTCCTTTGAAAGCAAGTAGAGTTGGTGGTAATGCTCCTGGTTGCCATAGTTGTAGCCCGGAACTAACACTCTGCCAGAAAATGGAATCAGATTAATTTTTAACATAATAATATAAAAAATTATAATTATGTTAAAATTAAATTTATAATTATAATTAAAGTAAAAGTTATAATTATAATTATAATTTCCCTTATAATTATGTTAAATTTTATGATGAAAAAGACAAAATCTCTCAAATAAATCTTTAAGTTTTTATCACAAAAATATATCTCAAAAACTAAAATCACCAAAATAACATTTTTTATTTTGAAAATTGTAATTTTTTTTAATTTTTTTAAATTTGAAATCCTACCCACTCCTCAACTCTAAACAAACAAAAAAAATCTAGGATTGTTAAACCAAAGGATATAAGTGTATATTTTACTTATTTTTGATAAAACCATTTATATCTATTTAGGTTATTTTTATTTTTAAAGTATATATTTGTGACAAAAAAAATTTTTAGGTATATCCTAGTGAATTTCTATTAAAAATATATTTATTTTAAAATTAAAATTATAATCAGATTTGTGTAACTAAAGATAGTATGATGTAGAAATGAGAATACTCACTAGTCTTAACCATGTGGAGTAAGCTTCTGTGATATTGGTTAGTCTCCATGCTTTGAGATCAAAAACATTCATACCAGAAAGCCAAGCACAGTCATCTTGAAGTAAGTTTGATGAGATGAGAGGATGTGAGAAGTTGAAATAGTCTTTATATTTTCTTCCAGGGCAACAGTTACTTCCGCACCACGAATCAACAACTGCACCAACTACTTTACCGTTGAGATCAGTTTCCCATAAAGACGAAATGTCACGCTGTACCACAACATCATCATCCAACAACACTATCTTGTCTAGTTCTGGAAAAAGCTGCATGGTCCAAAAAAAGGAATGATAAATTTTTTTAAGCTCAAAGAAGAGTTGAGTGGAGTATAAAGAGATCTTTACCTTTGGAATGTAGATACGAAGATGGTTTAAAAGAGCGAGGCAGCTAGGGTTTAGAGCTTGCAAGGACTGCTCATGAGTACCCTCCAAGAAACTATAATCAGAATCTTTCAGATTCTGATAATGACGTCTCCAAATCATGCGGTGAATATCAAGCATCTCTTTAACTCTAACATTCACTTCTTGAGGCCAATCATACTGATGAAGACCTTTTACTTCAACAACCGGTGATGAAGCAGAGTTGATAGCAAACCAAGCGTGCATAGGGGTATATGTTTTCTTATCGGTGACAATATGAAATACAAACTTGTCTGGATTCACAGCGTTTTGTACAGAGGAAGATATGACGACGGAAGCAGCCAGAACATTGTCTGTCAAGATGACAACATGGTGAAAAGATGGATCGGTTAGACGAGAAACGGATTCAGGTGGAGGCAGACGGGTTCGAGCCATTGCGTTTACAGAGTACTCTTCTGTTAACCTGAGGGAAAGGCAGTGGAGGCATTTGGGAACACCGTGGGAAGCTAAATGCCAGTACACTAACTCATGATGTTTTGCTGATTGGAGTTTACGTTCCATCTGTAACAGCTGAAAAAATTGAAGGAAAAAAAAGTGTCACATTAATAAAAGAGCCAAGGGGAGTATTAGTGAAGTTAGTAATAAATAGTTTATTCATCAGTAGTTGGAAGTAATGCTAAATAGTATACTCCCTCGTTTTTAAATATTTGATGTTTTAGAAAAAAAAAATATATCAAATTACATAACGTTTTTAGTTTTCAATGTGAAATTTATTAGTTTTTTATACCATATGACCTTTTATATTTTGTGGTCTATTTTTCTATTGGTTAGTTATGATTAGATAGATAATTAATGATATTTTTGTTTAGTAAATATTCAAAATTAAATATTTTCTTAATTCGGAATAAACCTAAAACCACATCTATTAAAAGGATAGTAGTATGAGACAAAAGTGTTATAATTAATTGGTTTTAGGATGTAAGCTTTTATATATATATATATATACTCTTATTTTCTACTGAAGTTTTTTTTGAACAAATATTTTTCTACTAAAGTTGACACTAGACTAATGGCCATTAACTTTTAATAAGAGCTGAAGTTAGAAAGAGTTACCATCTTCTTAGTCACGGAAGCAAACGTCTTTATATCACGGCGTTTTAACGTCATCTCCTTGACAAGTTCATCAAATGACTCCAATGAGCCCTTATGTCCTCTTCCATTACCGTCCTGACTTGTCTCTTCCACTAGCGCCCGTGTCAACTCTTCCCTAATTTTCTGAAAGAGGCACGCACACACACACACGCATTTTCTTGCCATGAGTTGTTACTAACTTTAAAAGCTGTCGCAGTGTCTTTACATCAACTCATGACACAAAACAACAAAACTGCTTAAACGTGAACAGTGCAATAAAAAGCCTTTTTTTACGTTATCTATTGGAACTATCCGTATGTCTTGTTTCTCTTTGTTCCTGTTCACTGATGCGTATGGAAGAAAAGGAACCAAGTGGCTATGGAGTTTCTCGTGGCAGCAAAATCTGCCACGTGCCCTGTTAGCTAAGATATAACTGATGTTTTTCTACGTTGGTTTTGGCATCTATAGTAGTCCATAAAGTCTACGAATCGCTAAAAGTGATTAGCTCCCTCACTGTAACTTACACACTCACTAGGGCAATGCTATGTTCAAATAAAGTGAAAGAAAAGGTAAGTAGATGATAAGAAACCACTTTGTGGGCTCGTTTCCGACAATACCACATGTTGATATAAGATCACGTTTTGCTCCACCGCAGAAAATAACAAAAGAAAATCTATCAAAATCAATCTATATTTACCCAAATGTCTATTTCTATCAAAGTAAAATCATACCCAACAAAGTCATTAGTTGCATGGATAGAAACATAGAGCAAATCACAATTCACCCTAAGACTACTATTAGTTCATCTCTTTTTTTTTTGTCCCTAGACAATGACATGAAATGAAATGATCACGTTTTAACTAATTTACCCCCACCAAGTCCAAGAGGGAAGAACACCTCTCACTATACGACACCAAGCCAAAACACTAACTTAATACACAGCTGGAAAAGACTTATACAGTCATATCTTTATCCCCTTTAATGGCAGCACTATTGCAAGTGTTGAATATCTTTTTCTCCTTTTCCCATCAATGATGTAAAACGTTATAATGAAGCTTAACTAAGCAGAAATCATTACATTAAAATGAAAAAAATTTATCTTAATGTTAAAGTATCTACCTAGCTGTATATACTCATATACGTTGCCGACATAAAAGTTAGAGAATTAAGAAATGCATTTAAATAAAGTGGAGTTAGTAATACGAAAAGCTTACGAGCGATGTGTCACCCCCACGGAAAAGTCTCAGCCCCATGCAATCTGAGAATATACATAGTCAAAAGTTAATTATATTAAATTTTACAAATCATACGAAAATTAATGCAAGCATATCATCGCATTCAATACGAAGTAATCCAAATTCAGTCAGATCATTTATTGAATTCACATTTTGCAGCATCTCCCTAAACAATTCCTCACCAGATAGATACGATACATACAAACTACATATTGCCAAATTAATCATATCCATTTACATTAATTTGTGATTAAGTGCTCTAAAAATCGTTTTAAACCGTAATCAGTGTAGATGGTGCCGAGGTCCACCTACGCTGTATATAGAACCTAAACAAAACAATTTATATTGAACAATTTTCAAGTCGATCCAAAACTTTCAAAAAAATCAGTCTACACGTCAACATAATCAATAATTTTCTATAAATCACCTTTGCCAAGCCATTTCTTGAACATTGAGTAAAATCTTAAGTAAACAATTAAGTAAAAGTTTGCAAGAATCTAATAGTAAAGAGAGTATTGTATAGTAAAAAAAAAGCTAATAGTAAAAAGTATTGTATAGAGAGAAGAGTAGAGAGTAGTTACCAAGAGGAGAATCACAAACGGAGGCAGATTCGAGCACAAGAAACGCGAACCTCACGAATACAAAAGGCAAGACGATCGCGAGCACCAGCAGCAACAGTATCAACGTGCGGCCAGGAAACCTCCGTGCCGCCGCGCATCCTCCTTTACCGATTACTCCGCCGGGACTCGTTATGGTGACTTTCTTTATCCCCGCAGCAGATATGTAAAACTTCATCTCTCGCAGTGTCTCTCAACTTCCATCAATACTAAACAGTAACGAGACCACTCTCTATATCTCCACTCTCAATGGATTAAAGAGCGAGGTTGGTGTTGTTGATCTGTTTAGTACGGGGAAATTCAAAAAAAGGAATTTGTAAAGAATAAAGCCAAGGGGACATTGTAAATCAAATAAATACAAAATCTATTTAATTCTATTCCACCTATATTATTCTATCATAGTCACGAGTTCGTCATAATAAAATAAATAATTTAATAGAAAACAATAAAATAAAATATAAGAAAAGCCAAAACCAATGCCGCGTTCAACTCTGCGGGAATTTAGCAACACAAAGTGTGTAGTATATAATAGTAGAGCTACAATTATTAATTATGCGCAATTAATAGGGTGAGAAGGATAATTAAGTAAAACGAATTATGGAAACTTTATGATAAATAACTGAATTAAATAGTTAGTGATGTAAATGGATAGTGTCCTTCTCCATAAGTAATTTTTGTATTTTGTGGAGGCACACCGACACATGGCAGAGTGGAGGGTTCTAGTGTGGGAGCCCCCACATGGAATTAATGGTGCGCCATTTGTGGAGATCACCGTCCTTTAATTCCTCTCTCACTATAGTTATGACAATGGAGTTGGTAGTTAACCAAGTTTTGAGGATTTCACTATAATTAATTAATGGACCACTTCAACAAACTTCTTTTGTCTAATGTTCTTTAAAAGACATATAAGTTATGGAATTTGTGTAGCACTCATACAACTTGAGTAATGATATCGTGCTATATATTGTGTTTTTTTGCGTAGGTGTGGATTGTCGAGACTTTAATTTTTCACCTAACATTTATTGTATGTGTTTGTTCATGATTTGATATTTGAATGGTTGTAGATATATAAGGCATCATATCAAACCAACAATATTATACGGGACGTGAGGTGTGTGGCGTGAAACGAAGACAATTCAGTATAGGCCCTTCAGTATATATACTATTTACCGAATTATGAACTAATTTATCTCTGTTTTTTTTTAAAAAAAAAGTTATCTATGTTTAACATATGTGTACAAACGTTTTCATCATATATTAAACTTTTAATTTAATCATAAACTATGCAGTATGACCACAATACAAATCATTAAAAAGAAATACCCCAAAAAATGTTGGATAACATAAATCATATAGATGTTACTGTGAAGAAAGTGGTACAGTAATTATTTTGAAGATAACTTGCGGTTTGTCGTTTCTGCATGTACTGATAGTGCATTGCCAATGTTCCCAGACAAGAAGATAAATTTAGAAATTACATTCAAATATCCATGCAATGATGATATTTTTCAAAACCTTACCTGATCTTACGAAAGAAAGTTAAATGTCACATGCCATAAATTTAGCGGGTTAACTGGCTAAGTATCTCATACACATTACAGAACCCACCCTGAATCATAGAGCATCACATACACATTATGAAATCCAGCCTGAATAATAGAGCATCTCTCACACATTATAGAGCCCATCAATGATCATAGAGCACTCCATACACATTATAGAACCCATCCTAAATCATAGATAAGCCCAAACGTAAAACAAGCCTAGAAAGCCCAAAACCGAAATTCGCAGTTTCACAACTGATTTTTCATATTATATTTATATAAAAATCATAACTGAATGTGTTCAAAAAAAAAAAATTTATATAAAAATCATAAGCTAACATAAAGTTTTTCCATCTAATATTTGAACTAATTAATTAATAGTACTGCTGCAATGTGTAAACTATGGCTGGACTTAATATCTGCTATCCAATTCAGGATCCGTTCCCATCCGCTTCAAAAAACAAATATTTGGGAGGTCTGAATTCGGATCTGGATAATGATTTTATAGATCCGGTGAATCCGGATCCGAATCTGGATAGTGAAATTTTTAGTCTGGATATCCGTATCCGGATTCGGACCCACTAAATATTTTTAAAATATTTAAAATATAATTATATTTATATAGGTATATTATATATTTTTATTTAAAATAACAAAAACTCAATTTTATTATTAAATTATATTATTTTATTTTAACCTTTTGCAAAATAATAATTTTTGATAGAATAAATATATATTTAATTTGAAAATTTTAATTTAATTTTGATTTAAAAAAACGAATCCTAATATCCGCGGATATTCGAGTTTTAGTACGAATATCCGGGCTCTGGATATTTGGAGAGCCGTAGGATCCGGATAGCAATTTTACGGATCCGTCGAATTCGGATCCGGATATCTCAAAAAACCGGGATATCCGTGTGTAAACTATTTGGATTTCCACTAAATGTTTATGTGTGTCAATTGTAGACTAAAACGGCAGGTATTGTGAGTTAAAAACTAAAAAACAGGACGTGTTTCACCAGATGCTCCATAACGCAGAGAAAAAGAAAAACGGTTTGAGCAAAATAAAAACAGATTCACAATCGTAAGAAAAAAAAAACGTAATGCTGTTTGATCTCATCATTGTCAACACCTAACGGATCGTTACCATCGGACTCACCCGGTGGAAAATAAAAAGTCTCTCTTCCTCCTCCGGTAACTGTTAGAAAATTCGCAGCGATGTTGAAACGTAGTGACAAAACAAAACCTCCTCACGGATCTCAAACCCATCGATTAGTATCTACTTTCGTCGTTGTCACCACTCTCCTATTACTCGCAACTCTTTTCTTCTCTCTCGCCGAAAAAAACCAACCCAAACAGATCATCAAACACGTGTCTCCCTCTCATCATCCAACGGTGGAGATCCAAAACGGAACTCAATTAATCTGGAAACTCCCAAAAACCAAACCAAAAGCTGTTCTGTTCATCGCACACGGTTGCCACAGAAAAGCCACAGACTTTTGGGACAAATCACCCTCTTGTCCCCAATGCACTTCCTTACCAGAAGAAAAGGTTCTTGTCCGTACAGCTTTATCCAAAACCTTCGCTGTCATCACAATCTCCAGCTCCGGAACTTGCTGGACGTTAGGTAAGGAGAGAAAAATCGTTAGGGATGTGATCAAAACATGGTTAAAGAGACAAAACCTCGAGAAGGTTCCTCTCGTGGCGTTAGGAGCTTCTTCTGGTGGTTACTTCGTCTCTGCTTTAGCCATGGATATGAATTTTCGTAGCATTGTGGTTATGATAGCTGAAGGAGTGTTTGATCAGATTAGGGTTAGTAGGAATTACCCGGCGACGCTCTTTGTGCATATGCCTAAGGATGTGTATAGGCAGCGGAAGATTAGAGAGTTTCTAGAAGGGTTGAGGATGGAAGGTGTTGATGTTAAGGAGGTTGAGTGTTTTGATTTGGAGATGTCTCCGGGGTTTTTGGCTGATAGGATTCCCGGGTTTGATCGCGGCGTGTCGGAGAAGATTTTTGAGGTGTTTAGAGAGAAAGGGTTTGTTGATGAGAAAGGGTTTATGAAGCGTGATGGGAGGAGAACGCCGTGGAAAGAAGCTCTTAGTGGGTATGAGATATCGTTGGATGAGAGTTTGGTTACTCCTGTTGAAGAGGAGTTGAATCTTGCGTTTGCGTATCATGAGATGACGAGTGTGGAGTCTGAGCAGATCTTTAACTGGTTTGAATCTCATATGGGGTGAATGGGTGTAAAGATCCTTCTTTGAAAGGTTTAAGATGCATTGCATACTCAAATGGTTAGTTTAAGGTTTGAGTTTGAGAAGACTATGATCACTCTAGTGTCTCTGGTGAGAAGATAGTTTTGTTTGTAGCGTAGCATAAGGTGAGTTTGCTTTTGTCGTTTTATCTAAGACCACTAAGTCTGTTGAGTAATGTGGTTCTTGAATCTGTAACAAGAACAAAAATAAGAATGTTGGATGCTATGTACAAGCAGTTGTGAATTGTGAGCAGTATTTGTGAAGAATTTTGTGGCACAATGACTTATATCTAAAGCAAGATTGAAAAGCTTTGTTTCTACCTGTCATTATTCATTCTGCAATGTAACAAACTGAAACAGGCAAGAGTTTGGTATTAATACAAAACATATGAAAACCAGCAACCAAAAAACATCACAAACTCAAACTCAAAATCAAACTCAAAAGAGAGTTCTATTATAAGTTCCATCAACTTTAGAGATTTATCCCCCGTTTATAAGGGAGTTAGCTGTAATGAGAGAGCTCATCATATTGTAAAGAATAAAATTATCCAATCAATAGAGGTTTTAATGATATTGCAAGGAACATATTGTGATTCTAAACACAGAATGTGATGTTTTGTGTCTATTTTTGACAAGCAATATATTAGCTTAGGAACGCTTATTATATACTAAGAACAAAGAGATTTTGATCAAATAGAGGATATAATACTTTATAAAGAATAATTAGCACATATATATGCTAATACCAAGAACAAAGAGATTTTCAATCAATAGGATTATAATCTATAGTACATCTTTGAACATAGTAAAAACACAATCTCTCAAAACTCAAAGTCACAATTTACGTAATCTAACATAGCAGTCACCTGAGTAAGGATGACCAACCTAACTAACTATCCAAACAATTAAGAACCTAAAATCAAGATGGTCTCGTTGGTCTTAACAAGGAACATAGTTAATTGGAGATACAAAAACAAGCAT